TTTCTGTTTAACAGAATTACAATGACATAGATTTGAGGTATCACTGAGGATTTCCTTTTGGAGAAGTACACCTGTAACTCAAAGTCAAAAGAAATGTAACCAGTACATGTCATTTCCTAAAAACATTTAAAATAGTTTAACATTTGTTTATTTAAATTCAACATTCTCTAGTCAATTAAGCAAACTTAGATTTCTAATAGAGCTAGTCTTTTCTTCTTTCAGTAAATTTTGTCTCTCTCCAAATTTTGGAGAGGTACAGCTAACAAAATTTACAGGTGAACTTACTTAGATGAGTGATTTTTTATATCAAAATAAAAGCAGAATATTCAAACTTCACTTGTAAATAAGATCTACAAGAATAAAATATGATAAAATACGGTTAAATTAATTATTCTTGATGTGTTTGCCAGTGTTTTCAGTGCCAGATTCAGAACAGATTTGCCTCAGAGCAAGAAACCTATTAAGTTGCTGGCAATTTTGTCGCAGTTGAATTCATGAAGGGTGCAAAAGATACTGCAGATTTGGTTTACCACAGAATTCCAGCTAGGAACTATTCACAATAATAATGATTACAACTGTGAACTATATGTATTTTTTTGGATGAAGGTATTTTTTTTCTTATTTTAAATAAAAAAAGGTGTATACAACTATAGCAATAAAGTTGCATCAGAGAAAATAAGGTTAAATTCTTTTTGTTGGTATAAGATGACATTCTGAAGTGTCTGTTGGAGTTTGCAACCACAGTTATATTCTGACTAATTTCTCTAATTAAGAAATTCTGATGGATTCCTTCACAAAATGCCTGCAAGTATGATTTCTATTTTTAAAGCAACAAAAAGAAAATATAATGAAACAGTTCATCAAATTTACTCTTGATAAACAAATATATCTTCTAAAACAGACAGAAGTCTTACAGCGAAACTGCAGAATAAAAAAAAGAAGAGGAACATAGGATGATCAGTCTCAGAAAACTTTCAGCTAAAATACCAGACTAAGAAAAAAAATAAGTTCTTGATTTGCAAGGAAAGCAAGCCACAACCTAAATATTTCCCAGTAAGCTTCCTATATCAGAGCCTGTTTTAAGTTCTAAACTCAAAAAAAATTTAGTGTGTTTGCTGAGAGTCTTCATCACCTTCAAATCTCTGTGCACTTCACTGCATATATTTTCTGTGTACGACTTAGTTCAAGACTATTGACATTGCTTGATTTCCAGCATTTTGACTCTTTCCCAAAATTAGCACAATTTTAGAAACTGGGTGATATGCATGCACAACATTTATACTACACTAGACTATACTTGATTTTAGACAAAAGGCCGAGAAGCCCCTCACTACAAGAGAAACAGTGAGGTGCTGGAGTGTATCCAAAGAAGGGCAATGAAGCTGGTGAAGGGCCTGGAGCACAAGTCTGAGGAGGAGCAGCTGAGGGAGCCGTGGAGGTATTTAAAAAATGTGAGAGCATGGCACTTGGGGAGATGGTTTAATGGTGGACTTGGCAGTGCTGGGTTGGCCTTGATGATCTTAAGGGTCTTTTCCAACCTAAATGATTCTACGACTATACCGCAAATGATTATGTTTAAGGATAAATTGCAAGTGATTCATGGAAGCAGACTGAGATTTGAGCTATTTAAATTCAACTTCCATAGAATCCTCTATAAACCTTATATAAGTTACTGAGTTTTAGTCACTAAAATATAGATGCTAACAGAAATTTACCATTTAGACTATGAGATCTTTAAAGTTATGCACCATTTCTCCCACTATAAATAATACACCTCTAATAGTAACAAAAAATTAAATTAAAATGGAGTTACTAAGTGTTCACTGAAAACACAAAATAAAAGTCACTAAGAACAAAAGTAACTGCAAGGGACCTAAATGTGGTTAAAATCACCTTTTCATGATGTTATTGCATCTGCTTTCAGTTGAAAACTGTTTGTGTATCTAGCTGATTCTGTTTCAGAAATCCAACAAAATCAAATTGGTCGTATTTGTACCTGTTTTGCAGGATGCCTTATAGAGCACAAGTAGTAATAACTTAACAACACACTTAATAGCAGTTTTTCTAACCTGACCCTATAGATTTTTTTTCTAAACTTGAATAACATCTAAACATCTTTTTTTAATAAACGATATATTTACATTTAACTTTCAAGGAAATGTAATTTTTTTTTCTTTTCCTTTTCCCTGCACCTTTAAATCAAAAAGAAAATTTCACTCATATTAATTTAAGAGGCACTAAAGCAATGATATATACATTGGCTGTTTAAAACTGTATCTTTAACTTCTAAACTTCTCAAGGGAGATTCTTCAAAGGCTGTTATGAGTCTGTTGCTATGCAGAGCAAACTGAGCTAAATGCAGATGAAGCAGATCGCTGGCAAACAATTCCAACAAACTGTGAACAATGAAAACCAGAAACCTTTGCATATTGTCTGGCCTGGCTCTTTACTAATCATTCTATTCACTTCATGTATTAAGGGTATTAAGGCGTGGCTATTATCAGAGAAAGATGGAATACAAATAAGTAAATTCCTACTCACTGAAATCAACAGGAACATTCATTATGTATTATTTGCAAATGTACCCTGGTGGGATTTAGAGGTACAGACATACATTCACGTAACACCAACTTAAAAAATTCCTACTATATCAACAGAGCCAGGGTATTTTCACGTAGGCTTACTCTTTTCTTTCAGCAAATAGAAGAAAATTCATCTTAGCCTAGCCTGCTCTTAAAGAGTGTTATAAAGGTTAGTAGTTAGGTTGAGGAATAGATGAGGGCTACACTCATACTTTTAAAAGTGACTAACTGATAGCATTATGTCTATAATACACAAGTTTTCCTGTCACCTCTATTTTGCTCAGCAACAATGCAGTTCATTCTTTAACATGAAAAATTTATTACTGCAGAAGTAAACCTTTCTTTCAAATGTCACCAAAGGATGTTGGCAGTTGAAAAATCATCAATATTGAATCTATACCCAGCAGGCAAAGCTGCATCATATAACTGAAGAGCATCCTTTGGTGCCAACAATTGTGTTATAGAGCTACATTGGTTAATAGTTATCCTGTTACAAACTAACACAGCTTGGGAGTACAAAAGAATAACACTGAAGAAACAAAATCAAAACAAATACAAAGAAAACTTCCTTTTAACTTCTCTTTCCATCAGTACTCATTTGGTATTTTGAAACAATGTTCAGCTGATCAGTTAAAGTGAATAATAAAGTCTATTTTACAGGCATTCACAGCGCATGACACGTCAGCTCATTAAGACCTAAATATTCTAACACACATTTTAAAGTCTGTTCTCTCAGTAGCTGAATGTTTTGTTTCTCCTGTTTCTCAGTTCATTTCTGTGTACCTATCCTAGTCCTCACCACGCCTGAGATTATGTTCCTTGAAATCAAGTGGCAGCTGTAGGATGTAATTTATGAAGAGAACAGACTCGAAGATCCTGAAACACAGAAGAAGGTTCAAAAAGTAACAAAATTAACATTTTAAACTAAGATTCAGAAAATATGGGAAAAAAGTCTATTTCAAGGCAAGCTGTAGGATGAAAACACAAAAAGGTTTCAAAAAAAGTCCAAAGAAAATGTAAGCAATTGCTCTCTTAGAAAAACAATTAAGAAGGAAAATATTAATGGATTTCACAGATACAAGTATGCATTAATTATCTCTGACAGCCCACCTTTTATCATGCTCCTGGTATTAGTTTCCTCTCAGTTTTGTACATAGCATTTATTCCCTGTGAACAACCTTTCAGAAAACAGCTAGAGAAAAATAGTGTCAAAGAATTTGCAATAGACAGCAACATTTTTTTACAACACACCTTGTTGATCCTATCATAACAGGCATTTTCCACGCAACTCTCTCAAAAGCCAAAGTTGGGTTCAAGAATCAGAAGGTCAAAAAAATTTACCTGTGAAAGTACAGTGACATGACCTAGGATGACCTAAAAAGAAAAAGCACATACTGTACAATCATTCAGCAGTCACTAACAGGGGCAACACAGGGCTAACGCTCTCCAGAAAAAAAAAAACAAAATCACACACAACAAACAAACAAAACCCCCAAAATGAAAACAGAAAAAAACCCAACAAAAACCAAAAAACCAAAACCCAACACTAAACCTATTTCACAGTTAAATATTACATAAAAGAGACTTAAAAACATGCCAACTTTTGCTTTACAACATGCTGAAGTTCACGGGAGAGATAAAATCAGGTCTTATTCTTGCTATGTTTAAGGTATATCCCAAGCATATTTTTCTGAATTAAATAAACAAAAAAATCAGTTAAACCTGCAAAACTCTGCTGCAGAACACTAGATGCAACTGAGATGCACCTGCAGTTGGTTATAGATCTTTGCAGCAATAAGGATGCTGAACTGCCTGTGCCTCTGGATCTGATAGATGCTGCCTGTGCCAGCACACATTCAGCAAAAATACCCAGAGGGCTTCAGTTATTCCAGTCATCTTGATTACGAGTCTTAAAAAAAAATAAATTAAACACACTAGAGAACATTCATGGTCACTGCAACTCGCTTACCTACACTTAATTTAAGAATAGTCTCTGGGCCAACTATCAGTCTCTGAAAAAATTCCTGGACGTAGTTCAGGAACTAGAAGAGGCACTATTCTAAATACACAGTTTGCATATAGCAACATTTTTATAGACTAAGAGACTTCAAAATTATGGATTGAACCAGCTGTCCCAAGAACTGAATGGGAAATCACCCTTTCTGTTCCAAGAATATAGCTATTTTGTGGTCTTTTACTTAATACCAAACGTACTTACTGTGGATCCAAGGGCAGACAAATCAGGTCTTGCTATCCGTACTTTCTGAAAAAGTAACAGTGGTTTCCATATTCAAACCAAACAAAGATAGAAGTATTTTTGAATTTTAAATACATACACTTGACCATATCACAAAGTTTTGTGATATCCTCAGTGGTGAAATAATTTGGGGAAAAGAAAAGAAGAATAACACAAATGTATTATTTTACTAACAATAGCTTTATTTTATGCAGGATGTTTCACAAAATTTTGTTTGGACAGTGTATGCACTGGAACTGCTCGGACACAGAAATCTACTTACATCTAAGACCACACACATATAAATCTAGATTCACCCTACCTCATTTGAAGTCTGTCAGTGGGCATCTAAAGTAAGAGTGCCATCACTCTTGGCTTTTGAGTATTTAAAAAGAGGGAAGCAATATCTGATTTACCTTTGAAGGCAGCATTCGCTTTCCATTGATTCTAGGGTGACAAAACTCCTCATTTAGGTATGAAAGTTAAATTACCTAATGTGAAATAGATTATTTCAGGTCATGTTCATAAACTCCACAATATCTTTCTCAGAAAGGCAGTAAACAAAGTGTTGAATTTATACCGGCATAAATTTAGAGCCTTTCAGAAATTATTCTGTTATAGACAACTGTGAATGAAATCAGACTGTCCTTGTTTTCCTCCATCACATATAACTCTCAGCATATTGTCAGCTCAAAAGATGTATAGTTTAATTTAAAACAGTATCATTTCGGCAACATGAAATAGCACTTTCCCATTATTAAGTATTTTCTGAGACAGCATGAGATTACCCATCCACATCCTTTATGAGAACAGTGTTGATCACATATCAGCAAATTTCTTCTCACTGAAGAAAATCAAAGTCCTGACATTTGAAAAATGTACTTTGTAGATTTTTTTGATTATCTGTTTGTTTCTACACCTCCTTTTGTGAGCGTATAAATTTATCAGACAGCCTACAGGTAGTTTTGATTAGAGTATACAGTAATTTTATTTTTTTACATTATTAAAATACACTTCCTTTTGTCATCAAATAACAAGAACGGTAATCTTTCATGATCATTTGAGGTATTTACTTCCTTTAATTTCTTCTGTTTTGGAATACTCAAGCCAACTAGTTGATAATAGTTTGATGATAGTAGATGATAGTATTTTGTTCCTGTTGAAATCGATAGCCCAACTTTAATTGATATCAGCATGGTATCATTCTATTTATGTTCCAAATCTGAGCAGTTCTCAATTTACAGTTTTGACTCATAACTCAGAATCAATAATATTCCACAATATGGAAATATGGAATTTGAGACTGTGTCTCCAGACAGACTCTTCACTTGGAAGACAGCCCATCCATTATGCAATTTAAACAAAGGTTTCAGTCTGAACCAAAGCTAAAGGGGAGTCTAGAGAAAGGAATGAAAGCTTATGTTGCTCTGATCACTCTGATCACAGAACTGTTAAGATCCAGTACTTATCCTCTTGAAGAAAACTTGTGTAAATAAAAAGAAATAATTTTGATAAATTACTAGGTCACCTAAAGAAATATCACAGTTTCAAATTACAAAATGTTACAACATATGGAACCCAGCATATGGGCCACTTGCAAAAGGGGTAACTTTTTTAACTTATAGAAATATTGAGATCACATGTTTTCATCCTCAATCTTGAACTATACACTTCAAATGTTTTCAGGAAATGCAGTATTATATTCCAGTTAATGTATGTTTATGTTCATCAAACAAATATTGTCTCTAATAATGGAAATAATTGACTGTAGGATGGACAGAAGTCTGCTAGTAGTCATACCATTTTTTCAACAGTAAGTGAAACAAATAAAAAAAATTCTGACCCATGACTGCAGCTTTATAAATTAGTTAACAAAAACTTTATAGAACTGGAAAAGAAATTTTTGTTTAAATTCCATTTTCACACTATCAGAATGGTATTACACTTTCAAATGAGTTGTGCTATATATTTTACATAATTGAGGATCTTGTACAGAAATTAAACTACAGATCTGGCAAATTAACTGTTCAAACATAAATTTGATGAGGACTGCATGCCAACTGTGTGTTAAGAGGGTGAAAGGGACAAATCTGACCATGATACTGAGGCTCATCTACACAGATGTTGCTCTAGCAAAAAGCCTATTGGGAGCAATAGAGACATTTAGATGTGCTCAGAGACTATAGATTTAAGCTATTTGATAGAACTCTGAATGCCAAGACCTATGTGCATCTCCCCAGGGCCAATGTCACTTAGTTACAAAGTAAGTAAATAACTGACATATTTTCCTTGGTGTTTATTTTTCTTATGCTTCCAAATATGATTCAGGGATAAGCATTTAAATTAAGCCTGCCTTTTTAAAAAAATACATCAAAATCTTAGCTGTGTCATAATTGGACAATTCAAACCACAATATAGTACAAATAAGTATCAACATTTAACAGAAGCGGAAAAAGGAAGCAAAGTTAAGATAAAGTATTGAGACCAGTTTTCATAAGCAGAACACTTTTCAATACAATGTACCTAAATAGGCATGCTTTTCAAAAAGGTCAAAAAATTCTCAAAGTTTACTGACAGTCTTAAACACTACCACATCGAGAAAGGAGAGGTTAATGTCTGTGTCTATGTGGTGATCATTCTTCCTCTGGATTCTAGTGACAAGAGGAATAACTCTGTATACCCACAAAATCTTACCTTCAGTTGCCCTAAAACATCTGAGAGAGCAAAGCCTTTTTATTGTTCTGGTTCTAGGGTGTAAATTGTGGAAATAGAAGGCGAATGCTGAAATTTATTCCATCAAGTACAAACTGAACAGACATCAGTACGTTTTTTTTTAACATACAATCAAAAATGGCTTCAGAGAGAAGTCAGTTTGAGAGAATGATACTTGTTTCACTAAAATATCAATGTATATTTACCTGTTTAATATTTCTTTTAACATGGCGCTCCACATAGAAAAGGGTGAAACATAGGTCTGAAGGGGAAAATACAACTACCTCTCGTAAAGGACAGGCAAGTTATTGTGAGACCACAAATTATCAATAGCTTTATCATGGTAGAGATTCTTTTCGCATATTAATGACTGCCTGAGAAAGAGCTATTTTTATCTAGGTTGTAATGAAATATCCCAATGTGCTCCAAAGGATGTGAAATGTACATATGGGACGGACAAAACAGTGGAGTAAGACAGGGACATAATACTAAGATTAGAAGAAAAGACAAGAACTTCTATACACTAAAAATTAGCAAGGGTACCTGTAATCTGTACGAAGACATTCACTGCACTTTTGACATTGCCTAATGTTTACCGCCCAAATAAACAGCACTTACACGCATATTTCAATACAATAAGCCAAAGCTCTGATTCCAGCTCCCACAAACCGAAACATATTTCAAGACAATTCCATTTGTAATGAAAAACAGACGGTAAAGGAAATAGATGTCTCTTTGTGATCTGATTTACACATCTGCAGACATTTACAATATGCATGCATTTCCAGGGAATACTGAGCAAGTTAAATTGGGAAATGGGAAATTTTTTTCTTAATGGACATGCGAAACAAAGAGTGTGACTCAAGAAGAAAATAAGCTGTGACAAATACATGTCTATTCTATCAGGCCTATCTGTTTCCAAACCAAAATCATACTACAGCATCATGTTAAAGAAACACCAATCATTATAAAAATCAGACAACTTTGGAAATAGTTTACTGCAGGGAAACACCACTCAAATGTGAGGTGGCTTAGGGACAGGTGATTTTCAGATCTCTCCCCTTGCTGAAAGAAGACCTGAGGTTAGCAATGGCTGTCTTTCAGAAATTCATTATACAGACAAGCAAAACATCCCTCAGCAACACAGACCTACAGGTTTATCTGAGGTCTTCTAAATCTCAGACAGCCATTTTATGCAAACATCAGCAATAAGCCATGGACAATGACATCAAATATTTGCACTGGTCCCAGGGAAATTATGCACAAAAATCACCAGAGAAACGTGTTACAACAAAGAAGGATGGAAGAGTCTCACTCAAAAAGAGAAAATCTGTGCAGAACCCCTCAGACAAGAGGTACAGGAAAAAGCAGTGCAAGAAGCCAATATGTTAATAACCTTCAAAATTAGGTTATATTGAGGCAGGTCAAAACTACACAAAATCTTCTCCAAATTTAACTGCTCATTTGGGGACTCTCGCTAGTTTCTTAGATTTTGTCCCATTTCTTTTTCTCCAGACAGTTTACTTCAAGCACACAAAGGGTACCTCATTATCAGGCAGAGAGAATTAAGTTTTCTCTTTCATCAAACTTCAAACCCCAGTTTAAGTACCACATCCCTGAGCTGAAGGAACCATATCCTACAATGAGATTTTATATCCACATCAATTTCAATCCCAGGCCTCTCTGCTCAGTCTGTAAATAAGGAACTAGATTTACTCAAATGTTCTGTTTCCTCCTGCCGAAGGGATGCTGAACAACCTTAAATCTTAGCTTATGTTTATTTTGCACCACTATAGTGACCAGTGAGACACAGTCAGAATGCATCAGTAAACCCGTCCAAGGGGGCCAATTATCACCACTGGGAACAAGACCAGTTTAACAATTATAATTTCATATAAGCCATCATACAATCATCAAATGATAAGTACTTCCAGGAACTAACCACTTGGGCTGGAATCAGACTGTTGAGCTGGAGGTGAAAAGCTCTCTGTTCTCTTACTAATCCCCTGAGCTATAGAGGCCCCAGATGGTAGTTCTGCAAAGGTTCACACAGCTTTTTTTGAAAGGCAGCAAAAGTAGTTACAATTTCTTTTTAAAGAAAAACAAATCAAAACAAAACAAAAAATCCTCCACAATTTCAAAAACAGTTACTTTTTTCTTAAAATAATCTCTCTGAAAGTAGCAGACTGTACACATTTTACAAGAATAAACAAACTTCTATAGTATTTATCCACAAATTGGGAGTCAGAGATCATTAGTGCAAATTTCTGCTGACCAGCAGCATTTATTCTATAAACTTTGGGTATCCTAAGTGGTCCATCAGTGAATAACAGATATCCTCAATTTGTCTAATCTCTTCACGTGGCATGTTTTTTTTCCAGGCATGAATGCTACTTGGTGAAATTTCCCCTTCATAAGGAAGATAGAAAAGACTGGTGGAGGTGGCAAATAATATTTGGTTTAAGCTAGCAGGAGGAAGAGGAATACCAAGAAAGGCAAAAATTGTTTCAGCTGTCTTCTGAGGAAAGTTCACAATATCTTCAAACTTGATCAGCTGATAATTTGTTGGGAGTAAGTCCCCATTTATTCTCATTGCTGCTGCTGTGTTTGCTAGCCATAAATAGGACAACACAGAAATAGGATTTGAATTAGAATTTGAAAATTCTTTTCTCAGTGATTCATATTCGGAGGCATAGCCTTCATTTAAACCACATTTTTCCTTACCATTCTCTCCTTTAAACATCGCAGCCAAGTGTTGTGGAACATTTTTCAAGGAGTAAAGGCTTGGCTTATTTTTGTACAACATTGAATAGACCCATGCCCGTGGGTCCCTCACTATATATAAAGCTTTCATTGATGGTCCTAGGATTTCCTGAAAGAAGGGAAGCTTTAATGTCCAGCTCCCACTGCTTAAACTAAGCACAGGTCGTGCATTAGGATAATAGATAAGATGTCTTCTCAGTTCCCTGATATATTCAGCATCTTTTTCTTGACTCCCTCTTGCCCTGCTTCTTTGCTCTGACAGGGATTCTCTCTTTCTGGATCTTTTCTTTTTGTCCTTGCTTAATGCAGAATGCTGAGCAATTTTACTTCTGCTAGCTTCATACAAATGAATGTTTTGTAAATGCAACTTTGTATCTCGAACTAGAGACTGGAGCCACCCTTGGATAAGATGAAAATTACCACTCTGAACATCAGAAACCTTCCATTCACATGGATCTACAAAGGAATCGATTTCAAATTCGGTCTCGGGAATTTCAAGATAGGGTGTAGGTATTCTGATGTATAAAAAGTCACTGCTATTGAAAAACAGCTGTTTTAAAATTTCTGCACCAGAAGTGGGAAGTGAAGTAATGATAACATCTGGCAAAACAACGGGGTTTCCTTCTAATTGTTTGGCTTTATTGCCTTTATCATGTTCTAGCCTTATCATGTCACTGCTCCATTTTGCACAGATGGGCTGAGTACACATGCTCCACACATCCACCAATTCAATAAGCCACAGTGTGACAACCAGTATCAGAATCCAACGCAACATTTTACCAAAGGATATGTAAAATCGCCACTGAAAAGCCAATATGACCAAACTGACACCCAAAATTAACCCTGCGATTATGTTCACTTTGAATCCAAATGGGAAAACCACCCTATTATTTTTTATCTCTTTTTTCACAGATTCAGTACCGACACCAAACTTGGTCACTTTATTTTCATGAATTACTTTGGCAAAACCACCAAATCCCAAGTAATCGAACCTTGCCTTTAAATTCTGATACTCGGTCACAACAGAGATGGTATTTTCAGTGTGGTTGACACTGAGTGAAATCTGAAACCCAGATTTTGCATTATCTATGAGTCTACAGTCAGAAACATTGACATACGGGCCATAGAAAAGGTAAACAATCCTTGTAAGCGTATTTTTCATTGGAAAGGTAACATTTACAAACTGGGTCCATCGCTTTTTGAATTCAGCTGCTTGTTCAGCCTCCTGTATCCTAGCAACAGGGCTACTCCCACGATGATCAAACCAAAACATCTTGTAGTGGGCATCCCACACATCCATCATAGCTCCATTGTACTTGTTCTTAAACTTATAGGGTATGTACTTAAAATCAATGTCAAGATTATGAAAAAAGGCACTGACAGAATTAACAGGAGAGTCTTCCTCCTTCTCAATATGGTCTACTACTAACAGTGTCTGAGAATTTAAGAGCAGCAAAACGCGATATACGCTTTTCAGTTTCATTGCTGATGTGTAAGCAGATACTGCCTCACCACTCACAAACATCATGTCTCCAGCCTGGGAGGCTGTTATAATTTCTCCAGTTGAGTCTCCAACCTCATCACCAATCCACTTCAGCCATTGGGCACATTCACCAAGCTGTCCTTCCCAAGGCTGGTTGCACTGGCTAGTAGGAGATGGAGCAAAGACCAAGACATTGTTTAGGTGGCTGAGTTTAGGTCCATAAAGAGCCTCAGATACAAACACCTGTCCATTGGGAGCAAAAGTGAAAGAGTTCTGATCAGGATGTTCATGTCCTGGATTGAAACTTCTCCACCCATCAATCCAGGTATAGGGTTGAAAGTGAACAATATCATAGACAGCACGTCCACCAAGTTTTCCAGACTTAAAGGACACAAAGGTGTTTGTCTGACTGTTTGGCAATCCAGCCCCGTAAGTAACAACTCCCCAGTTAGGAAACACATGCATTTTAGCAGTACCATAGTCAGGAGGAGGCTGAGGAGTGATTTCAGCAGCATACCATATAAATTCAGTATGTAATGTGCTCCACCTCTGTGCAGTGGATGGCACCATTGGCCCATCTTTGGGCCTGTGTTTTCTAATCTGCTGTGCCAGCCAGTTGCCGGCTCCATTCTTCATTATAAACTTATCCAAGAAAACCAGTTGGCTCTCAGGACCATAAAACCAGTTGTAATTAGAATCCGCTACGCCCACAGTCCTCTGAAAGCCTGGTAACAGGGTGGCATAGTAAAACCAAAAGTGCATTTTGAGCCAGTTATTCTCCAAGTTGTTAATACCAAAGTGGCGCTGGGCCAGGAAAACATACTGGGTTACTGACTTGGCTGTGTAACTCCCATAAGCTACTCCTTCATCTAGAGACCCATCTACAATATGATTGAGCAGAAACATGGTTTTCTCCATCACATCAACAACAGTGTGTTTCCAAATATTTGCCCGAGATCCTTTGTCCACTCCTGCAACCAAAGCCCCAATAAGCAAAGCAAGCATATTGGTTGCCTGGTGATTATGGAGAAGCTGCTTTCCCCAGGAACGAACCTTGGAGTACTCATACATTTCCTCGCTTACAGACCATATCTTCTCCAGATATTTTTGCCTTCTCTCATTTTCCAGTGAATTATACAAGAAGTCAAAAGCAGTGGCAAATCCTGTTAGGGAGTGACCAAGTGGCACTTCATCTCCAGGTGCGTTCTCGACCAACCAGTTTTTGTAGCCAGCCATTCTATCCATATATTCTATGGCAAAATCAAACGCAGCTTTATCTTCAGGGCACAGCAAACAATAAAATGCTAGAGGTGGCAGATTGTTACCATAAATCTCATTCCACTTCGCAGCAAAATCAGCGTACTTGGGGGGAGGTAGGTAGTATAAAGGGTTGGAGAGCATAACCATCACAGCACTTCTGATGACTCTAAAGAGATGCAAATGGCTTGTGTGAGCCTTCTGCCTCAGTGCTTGAACATCTTGAGCGTCGAAATACAAGCTTGGATGAAGGACTGATTTTTTCAGCTTCTGCTCAGCACTAAGGCCTTCAAGTTGCTGTTTTTCATATTGATCTACATTTTCTATGAAAGTCGCCCAATCAGAGTAATTGCTTACAGATTCTTCAAAAGCGAAGACATCAAACATCATTAATGCTAGAAATAAAGTATGCCCCGCGAACATCAGAGCCATGATCCATTAGGCAGCTCCTCTTCCCCAGACATGCATTTCCTTACAAAACACAATGTCCAGATAACAAATATCTTAAGGCATATTTTTAGGAGAAAAGATTTAGCGTACACTGTGCATTATAAAAGAGGCTCAGACTACTTGCAATCTGAGATACAACATTGAAATGACAATGTTCTTGAAAACTTAAATCTCAGGTGCCTTGTCTGTTCACACTTTTCTCAAAGACAACACAACATAAACACTAAAGTCAAGTTAAAAATAAAATTCTCTAAGATATGAATATAAAACACAGGTCAACAATGCACAGTACAGTGAAACGTTATCTCTTGATAACTTGAAAAACTTCACCTGAAGAAAGGAATCAGAGTCATAGGTTTGCTTTTTTAAAAAGCTTTCAATCAGGTCAGATTCCACTTTTAGAATTGACAAAAACTCCACTGATCAAAAAATGATATAATTTATTCAAAACAGTGTGTTATATTTGATAAAATAGGGAATTTACAGCACTTGGAAAACAGACTCCAAAACTGAAGTTACTGTCTTCAGTTTTCGCTTTATCTCAATTTCCATATACATTCTTTCCATCTTTCTCTTTTGGGATTCATGGAGGGGCAAGAAGGAAAACAATAATAGAAAAAATCTACATAGATCCTCCATTAGATCTTTTTGATGAAACTGCAGTGCTTTTAACCACTATTCTTCTCTGTTTGTGAAAAGTGCATCTGAATTAACAGTCACAGAGTACTGACATATTTTCAAGTCTTCTTTCATCTTATCTTCAGCCAGTGATGCCCAAATTTGGCCTCAATGATTCAAAAAATCCTGCTCCTTCCATTATGATGCAAAAGGAAAACATGTGAAAAGGTAGAAAGACAATACTTTCTTGTCAAAAGAGCAGTTTCAGGTTTCCTTCCACTTGGCATGTTGGTTCTTTCTGTGGAAACAGAAACAAAAGTTCTCTGAAGCTGTGCAGGTGTCAGAACATATTTGAAGTACTTTGACTAGCAAAGTGCTGCTACCTTTCTAAGAAAGATGAGCTAATTCACCTTTCCTTTTCCAGAAATTAAAATAAATAAATAAGAGCATTTTCAAAGTTCCACAAAATTCATCCTTGGCAAAAGAGCAATTCCGATTCACCTTTTCCTGCGTGAACAAGAGGTCTCAGGGCATCTTTTGCCGTTATGCTACCAGGAGCTACCCGAGAAAATAAATCTGACCGCACGCTACCGAAATTCAACGGAGCTCAAATTAAAAACAAAATAAAAAACTCGCGTATACAAACCACGCGAGTGGCCGTGCCGCCGAAAGGACGGCGGAAGGACGGAGCCCCGGCAGTCCGACCCTCGGCGGCCGCCCCGGGGCCGCCCCCGCCCCGCGGGCCCCGCACGGAGCCCGCCCGCGCCCCCGCCCGCGGGCACCAGGGGGCGCCCCCCC